GAATAAGAGATTAAGATCCGATCGCAACACGGCCCCTACTCGTCATCACTCGGATTCGTGAGGTACTCATCGTCGCTAATGATCTGTTTCCGGGAGCTCTTGCCTTTGGGCGCTGGTCGTTCGTCTTCGTCCATAGGTGTCAACGCGGCATCATATACCGCTGACGATAAAGAGGCCGCCGCAGGCGGAGCACCGGGAAGATCGGATCCAACGATCAGACGCTCGAACGCCGCATTGAAGACCTTCTCCATCTCATCGGCATCCACATACACCCAGGACCCTTCCTGGTTGTACGTTCGCGCGTTGTTATACATCAGCCGCCAGTCTTCCCGGAAGTCAAGGACGCTCTTGTAGTAGGTGCTCTGCAAACGTTTCCGGAGAGTGGACAATGCGATGGGCTTCGTGACCGGACCGTAAGACAGCATTTCAAGCGTGCTAGCGATTGCCGACTGATGGCCGGGCTCTGCCGGCTGATGGCCGTCTGAACTTACCGTAGTGTTGGTTGCAAGCTGTGGCGCTGGCGTCGCCTGAGATAACCACCGCCTCTCATTGAAGCTTCATATGTCGCATCCATACTTACTGTGATGCATGATCCTCCGACACCGCGCGATCTGCTACGTCCATGCAAATACAATGTCCCGGCAGTGACACCTCTGTTAAAGTTTGTCCGAGACCCGAAGCGAGAACGATCAACGAAGATATATCGCGCTTGTCTGAGCTCTGTCAAACGCGTAAGGAACGTACAGGACGGCTGGCACAAAGTCTGCAAGGTACTACAAACATGGCCAAATACAGTGGCATGCGCTCGCCACAATTTCAACACCCTTACACTCCCTCTTTACAACAGGCACCCGCTCTGGCCATTAGTAGGTCCTACTTATAGTTATACTGCTATAACTATTATTGCCCACAGTGATTGCGGAAATCTCTGTTCAATGGAGCAGGTAACTTGCGACTGCAGCCTAAGGTGAGTGCTAAATGGCTGGCGTATAGGTCTAGGTGATTGTCATGTGCGTTGAACATGGCGCTACAGGTTATGATCTCAAGTTGCGGTATCCTATAAAAATGCTCCTCTATTGCTATCTCAAGACGGCAATCACCACATAAAATCACAGAGGAACAGCGGCGCCGAAGTAAGAATATCTTATGCGGCTGCACAAATGATGATGAGAAACATTGGATGTTCAGGCAGCCTTATGAAGGGAATAATATAACTTTCATCGTGGTCAGCGGTCCGGTTGCAGAAGACATGTCCTCTCGCTAGTGAATGGCGGGACATTCACAAGCGAACCCTTCTATTACACGTAAACGTGAGTTTGACGGCTCTGTCAATGCCAGGTTTGATGGAGTGGTCCACCATTGAATCGGTTTCGAGGCTAGGTCATGCGTTACGAGACTGACATCTTCCTTGATGCCTTCGTTTTGGATGCTGCGGACTATGTCCGCCGACATATTATATTTGTCTTCGATCCGGGGATTCCATATTAGTGACAAGCTACAAATGGTAACACCGCTAATGTTGCACTAATTATTGAAATTCAGTACCGGGATTCCCTGCGAAATGTCGTAGGGTGAATAAACCACGTTTCACATCAACATTGAGAACACCCTCGGTTTCGGACATCTTTAGCCTCATTGGTGCTTCATACACCGTCACTCCGTGTTCGTAGCGCATGTGTTGCATGCGTGGTGTCAGAGTCGGACAGTTCTTGGGAAATGTCAGGACTTCAACATACACCGGTGGACGAGATCAGTTGCAGCCGCTGCAGAGGCCTGGGTGTATAAAAGCTGCTGCGTGCAACGGGGCTAAGCATCCACTACCGTTAGCTCACTTCACTCCTTACAAACACTTGAGGCAACACACTACAATGTCGATTCAGGCGGGAAACTATAGGATTCAGAACGTCGGTACCGGGAACTATGTGGATCTGGCCGATGGGTCTAGTGCCCAGGACACCAAGGTTCAGGGCTTTATGGACCTCAATAATTTGAATCAGCTCGTAAGACACAATGAGCACAAATATGTACGTGCATGAAATACTAATCCCTTCTCCAGTGGCAATTTGAGAAGGTTGGCGACAACACATGGAAGATCTTGAACGCTGCGAGCGGCACATACATGCTTGCTCCGGTTCACGCCATTGTGAGTAGGGAAACACAGCGCTTGAATTCATTCCATTAATGAAGAGATAATTGACAGAATCAGGGTGTCGTCGGCGGCACGCCTCCGGACGTGTTCACGCTCATCGACTCCGACGGGTCGTATCAGTGAGTTCGGTATTTGACAGTAAGAATTGGTTACTCTACTTGCTAATACTTTGTCCTGGAATTGCGTTTAGGATCAAACTCGTCGGCGAGGCTCTTGTGCTCTACCTCGGCAGCAGTGTTAATTTCACCCAGGTATGCATCCACGTCTCTCCGCCAGCTCTGTGACACCCCTTAGTGATGGTGAAACCACAGATCATCCTGCAAGCCGCTGACGGCGGTGACAACAACCAGTTCTGGTACCTGCACCCGGTCACAGCTTGATGCGACTTCGCGGCTTCAATGGGCTCAGCTCACTCAATTGTTGGACAGCGTGATCGACTATTACTGTGAAGAGTCATTTCTTGGTGTATGTTCCATATGAAGATATTCCTCCTGTGTTGAATAGCGCAGCAGTTATTCTGAGAGAATCGAGGTTGTAGGCTGCTGCGCATCAATGAAGAGGTGTTGTGTGATTCAGAATCTGACAGGAGTTTGTCAGCTCAATAGCACGGGCCGGCGCGGGTCGAACAAAGAAAGAGTGGTATAGGGAAGCGCCACCGTGCTCGAACTATATCGAGCTGAATGCGAGCTGAATCCACGAAGACCAGCCAGAATGCACGATGATTGAGACTGGTCCGAGATAGTCTGGTTCAATTTGGGGTCCCGACAGTAAGACGCGATTTCGGAGTTACGTAAGCTATTACATCTCCGAAACACGTCGTTAAGATCTTGCTCGACGCGACGCGACAGGACCCCGGCGAATCCCCCAAGAGCTCTGATCCCGAAAACCCCGAAAAGGGGGCCTCTGGAGCCAAAAACTTACATCTCAAACCCCCGAAACGGGCCCCGGACGGCGGTCAGGTTATGTGCCAGGTGCCCCCGAAACCAGGCGTCCGGGGCGAGGTATGATCCTCGACCCCCGAACATAAGGTCCATCCGGCCTCGGAACGGGTGCCGAAATGTGCCGGAAAGGTACAATGATACTGGTGACGTCTCACTCGATTGCTTCTCGATACCGAACGCTTTGTCGCTATGTTACTTTACTTATCGGTTCTCGATACCAAACACTTCATCGTTATGTTACTTTACTTATCAGGTAATTTCTCTAGCATAGTGCAGAGGATCGATAGCGCGCTCAAATTTGTTATGTACGGATCCCCTTGCTCTGCGTCTTTCGGAATCTATTGCCTACTACTGTTGCTTGACTATGCATGTGGCCGAAATACCTTGCGAAGATCTAGATGACACAGACAATATACAGCCCCCATGCAATATTCTTGACCTGCTAAAGCCAGATGTGAATCTGCCTGTGTCCGAATTTTTGCAGCTCCTTCCCGTCCTGCCAGCTGTAAGTTCACACTAGCAAGTATACAATGGTATACTCGCTATGAAGTCAACACAGCTATAATCTCTCTCCTCGACGGTCGTGGAAGGTCCAGGCTCACCCAAGGTAGGCCTAACTCGCACACTTCTGATGTTCGAGCTAATGTCTGGCAGGCTGTCATCTGGCCAGTAGTCTCCAGGGTCAGTCCCGAAAGTACAAATGCAGGTATCCCTCTTCCCTGACATGCTGGCATGCATTTCGTCACTGTCAGAGTTCGACACCACAAAAAGCGCATTGTGAGCGCTACCCAGAGAACCTGCAACACATAAATCGGGTGCGTGATACAGTTTGAGGACATACACTGCATACCAGGTCTCTTATCTTTGCCTGCATAAGCTACAGCAGCATTTCCTTTCCCCTTATCACCCCTAATGCCAGGAATGCCATTAGTGTCTGATTCCGAGCGTCATACTGCTAGAGAGCTCGCACAGCGCATAATGTTGTCCAAAAAATGGGCAGGCTGTATTTTAGACATTCTGACACTGTAAGTAGGAATTTATAGATCTAATGATCTTGTGCAAATACAAAAATCCGAAGTAGAGAGATTAGTACCACGTCAATCAGTGGCCTCAGTGGCGTAGTAGTCGGTACTTCTAAATCTATGTACGGCCTTGTGACAATGGTACAATTGCGCGCGCGATTTTTTTGCAATTTCTCGCCTTTTACTGTGATTTTTAGACGTTAGATCCCATTTACCCCCGAAACTGACCGGAATCAGGCGAGGTTATGTGAAGTTCCCCCGAAATCGACCATGGGCTGACCCCCGGAGGGGGGTCCGCGCGGGATCAGAGCTCTTGGGGGATTCGCCGGGGTCCTGTCGCGTCGCCTTCGGAGCTCACTGGAATCTCGGACCGGTCTCAATCATCGCGCATTCTGGCTTGTCTTCGTGAATTCAGCTCGCATTCAGCTCGATATAGTCAGAGAAAGATAGCGCTGCTGTTGAGCGGACAAACTCCTGTCAGGTTCTGGATCACACAGTATCTCTTCATTCATACGCAGTAGGCATCAAACATCGATTCTCCTAGAATAACTACTGCGCCATTCAACACAGGAGGAATATCTTCATATGGAACATACACCAAGAAATGACTCTTCACAGTAATAGTCGACCACGCTGTCCAACAATTGAGCAAGCTGAGCCCATTGAAGTCGCGAAGTCGCATCAAGCTTGAACCGGGTGCAGGTACCAGAACTGGTTGTTGTCACCGCCGTCGGCGGCCTGGAGGACGACCTGTGGTTTCACCCTCGCTAAGGGATGTCACAGAGCTGGCGAAGAGACGTGGATGCATACCGGGGTAGTATCTTCACTGCTGCCGAGGTACAGCACAAGAGACTCGTCGACGAGTTTGATCCTAAACGCAATGCAAGGACCAACAATTAGCAAGTAGAGCTACCACGCCTTTTCGTGGTATGCCGGACTCACTGGTACGACCCGTCGGAGTCGATGAACGTGAACACATCCGGAGGCGTGCCGCCGACGACAGCCTGATTCTATCAATCATCTCTTCGTTAATGGAATGAATCAAAACCGCTATGCTTTTCTACTCACGATGGCGTGGACCGGAGCAAGGATATATGTGCCGCTTGCAGCGTTCAGGATCTTCCATTTGTTGTCGCCAACCTTCTCAAATTGCCACTGGAGAAGGGATTAGTATTTCATGCACGTACATATCTGTGCTCATTGTGTCTTACGAGCTGATTCAAATTCTCGGCGTTCGTATAGCCCTGAACCTTGGTGTCCTGGGCACTCGACCCGCCGGCCAGATCCACATAGGTCCCGGTACCGACGTTCTGTATCCTATAGTTTCCGGGCTTAATCGTCATTGTAGCGTATTGCCTTGAGCGTTTGCGAGGAGAGAGATGAGTTAACGAGAACGAGAGCGAATGCTCAGCCCTGCTGCATGTCGCGGCCTTTATACACCCAGGCCTATGCTGCGGCTGCGACTCATCTTGTCCGCCGATGTATGTTGTAGTCCTAATATTTCCCAAGAACTGCCAGAGTCTGACACCGTGCATGCAGCACATGCGCTACGAACACGGAGCAATGGCGTAGGAAACACCGACGAGACTAAAGACATCTGAGAACGAGGGGGTTCTCAATGTCGATGTGGACCGCATATGGGCACAGTTCACACACCCTTGCAGTGAATCCCGGTACTGAACTTCAATAATTGGTGCAGCATTGGAAATATTGCCGCTTGCAGCTTGTCGCCAATATCGAATCCCCGAATCCAAGACAAATGCAGCATGTTGAAAGACAGGGTCCATGGCGTCCAAAATGAAGGCATTTAGGAAGGCTGAAGGTTAGTTGATATGACAGTCTCGTGGTGCATGGCCCAGCCTCGAGACCGACTCTAAGGTGGACCACCCCATCACACCTGGTCTTGACATTGTCGTCGAACTCACGTCTACGTGCAATAGAAGGATTTGCTCGTGAAGGTGTCGCCGTTTGCTAGCTAGCGGACATGTCTTCTGCAACCGAGCCGCTGACCACAACGAGAGTTTTCTAACTCCCTGCACAAGGCTGCCCGATCAGCCAATGATTCTCATCATCGTTTATGCGACTGCATCGTAAAGCCCTGCTTCAGCATCGCTGTTCCTCTGTGATTCCATGTGATTTCTGTCTTGAGATAGCAATAGAAGAGCCTATTTGTGGCATACCGCAACTTAAAACCATACCCTGTGACACCATGTTCAATGCACATGACAATCGTCAGCAAATTCTAAACCTATACGCCAGCCGTTTGACACTCACCTTGAGCTATCATGAACGGAGGTTGGTGCATGCCAACACTTCTGCAGTCACTGTGGGAACAGAAACGGCAATGGCAGTATACCTATAAGTAGGACCTACTAATCCTCTGTTCTAGCGGAGACATCTGCATAAGACAACATAACTAAGCCATATTTCCACCGTATCTAAGTTTTCACCATTGATGATTTGTCTTCGAGACATCATGTGCAGCTAGAGCTAACGTGGGCGTCGCCGCGTGATCCTGATCACAAGCACCTAACCATAACTGCACTTTACCTTGCGCAAGCGACAGCGCAGGCATGCTGACGCGACGCGTTCGCCTCTCGTCTTCTTCTGCTGCACGAACTCTCAGCACTGCTAGTCGCCCTTCTTGCACCGCTCGCACGGTCCCGCCCACATCGCTCTCACACACACTCAGCGAAGATTCACCATTAAGTCTCATCTTCGTACTCACCCTCAACGGGCCTTCCATCGTCAACCTCAACCATCTACCACATAATCTGTGGGTCCAAATATCTCATGGAGGCGCCATGTTGTAATATGCCAATATGTTGTAATTTATCCATGTCTGTTTGTAAGGGCCGTCGGGCCGATCGCTGCAATGCTAAATCCAGGTCAGTATGCAACTTACCGAGTCCCTCTCAGCACCAATATGTGAATGCGCCCTATCAAGGTAGGAGTGTCAAATCGGGTACAGCAACGCATTAGCATTCTGCCAAGGCAAATTTGTGCAACGGTAAGGGCTGACGTCGGTGGCGGTTGCCGATGCATCTGATCATCTCAGATCGCACAACAAACTTCAGCAAACTTCATCACACAATACCGGGGCAATCGTAATATACCTAGCAGACACCAGAGACTATCTTCCAAAACATATCTCACTGCGTTTTCTTTAATAATCGGAGTCTTTAGTCCATACTCCGAGCCAACACAGTATCGAGCAAGCCGCGAACACAAGTAGAAGGTCGCTTTAATTGGTAGCAGGGTGCAGGTACCAGAACTGGTTGTCGTCACCGCCATCAGCAGCCTGAAGGGTGACCTGTCGTGGTCGATCGCTGAGGGATGGTACGGAGCTGGTAGAGACCTGGATGCTCACCTGCGTATCGTCAAGACCATTGGCGAGGTACAGCACAAGAGGCTCATCGGCAAGTTTGATCCTGGAGGCAATGGCATGCTCAAGGGTCAGCAAACAGAGAATCCATGTGTTGTCGTGGTATTCTGCTCTCACTGGTAAGACCCATCGGAGTCGATGAAAGTGAACAGGTCCGGAGGCGTGCCGCCGACAAGTCCCTTGTTCTATCAATCTTTTCGTTAATCATTGAATCGACTAGAGCCTCGAATCTCACTACTGACAAGGGCGTGGATTGGCGCAAGGGCGTATGTGCCGCTAGCAGCATTCAAGAGCTTCCACGTATCGTTGCCAACCGGCTCGAATTGCCACTGAATGAAAATCATTAGGTTATCCAGATGCACGTCTGAGTTCCTGAACTCCTACAAGCTGGTTCAAATTGTCGTTGTCCCACCAACCCGCAATCCTGGTGCCTTGTGCACTCCACCCAGAAAACATATCCATATAGGTATGGGCACCGACGTTCTGTATCCTGTAGTTTCCAGGTTGAACCGACATTGTAGCAAGCTGCCCTAAAGATGCGAGAGAGAAAGCAGGGGGAGGTGAACTGACGATGGTCGGTGCCTACATCCATACCGTATCGCGGCTTTTATACACTCAAACTCGAAATCAGCTGCGCGCTACAAACTTTCCCTATTCATCTGTGTTAACGTTGAGAGCTTGGAAGTCGTACTACTCCCTGAGAAGTGTCGGAAGGTGGCGCAGCAGATCCTATCAACAACAATCACAAACTGCAAGGCTGATGCACGGTGCCCTAGTGCATGTAGCTGTATTCACTGTTCTCGCAAATATCGAACTGCCGAATCCCATGACAAATCCAATAAATCGGCGGACAGAATACAGAGCTTGCGATGAATGCATCTAGAAGGTGGGAGCTCCAAAAAGTAAACTAACACGACAGTCTTGCGATGTATGACCGACATTGAGACCGGGAATCTGTTGCTCCGTACAGTGGCCCACATGGCAACCGACGATCTTGACATTCGCGTGTTGATGCTTAACGAAATCACGTCTGCGGGCGATGCGGAGCTTTGAACGCGCAGTTGTCGTGTGCCATCATGTGAGATGCACACCATGGTCATTCTCAGATACGAGACTTGCCCGCATTGGCACTCACCGTGGGTAGAGTTGCAGTTCTTCTGCCCCTGACTGTGACGGAGGTTGGCACCCGCCGATGAGAATAGTGACGGGTAGCTGTAAATAAACTCAGTAGTGGCCAATCCGGTATTCTTTCTTCGTCAAGGAGCACGAGGGATGCGCTGATCTCGAAAAGGAATTGTTCAATGAAGAGATACTGATTCCTGCGATAGACGGAATATACTAAGTACACACCATGCGCCCACATGGGGCTGGTACGGAGTCGCAAAACTTCCGACACCTCGAGTGCCAGACATCGGACATGTAGAGGCCAAGTAAAGCATGTCTGTGTCACTCTACACGACAGACAACTCGACGATGTCTCATGTGCTCATATTAGGAGGACTGCGCATCAAGACATCGAAGCCCAGATCGCCCCAGTGGCAGAGTCAGGCTGCGTATAGGCTAAAACTTTGAAAGAGGAAGAGAAGAGAGCCCTCCTGGACGACAGCACCTACGCGACGTACGGAACATAAGGACTGGAAAATGGCGAGTTATGGCGAATCACCGACCTTGATAGTTATCTCCCAGGGGTTTTCCGAATAATTATTGCTGATTCACGCCGTGGAGTTCGTTACGGACTGCAGTGAGTCCTGTACATTGCCGCCATCGTCAGAGCAAAATGCCTCTGGTTATTATGACACACGCAAGTGGTATTGTAAGGCTGTGCTGCTCAGACACTCCGAAAACTCCGACTTTGCTGATCATCTGATGATGAATCGAAGGGACCATCCATTTCACAAGGAGCTTGGTGGTATGGTGCTGATTGATAACATTTACCCAACGAGTATGAGAAAGCGACGACTAGTCAATTACAATACAGTAGCAATACAGCTGCAACATCGACGAATAAGAGATTAAGATCCGATCGCAACACGGCCCCTACTCGTCATCACTCGGATTCGTGAGGTACTCATCGTCGCTAATGATCTGTTTCCGGGAGCTCTTGCCTTTGGGCGCTGGTCGTTCGTCTTCGTCCATAGGTGTCAACGCGGCATCATATACCGCTGACGATAAAGAGGCCGCCGCAGGCGGAGCACCGGGAAGATCGGATCCAACGATCAGACGCTCGAACGCCGCATTGAAGACCTTCTCCATCTCATCGGCATCCACATACACCCAGGACCCTTCCTGGTTGTACGTTCGCGCGTTGTTATACATCAGCCGCCAGTCTTCCCGGAAGTCAAGGACGCTCTTGTAGTAGGTGCTCTGCAAACGTTTCCGGAGAGTGGACAATGCGATGGGCTTCGTGATGAGTTGGTAATAGTCAGGATACTCCTGAAACCCGCTCGGTGAGTGCGAAGCGTAGCGCTAGATGAAAGAATACTGACCCTCCTGTCCGGCACCTCCCTGAACAGCTCACACCGTTTACGGCCATGCTCGTCCTCACAGCTGAGAACGGCTCTGTATATCTCATTGAACGCTTTCTTCATTCTCTCGCGTATTGGCGTGGGTATCTCAGAGCCCTTCGTCTTGCGGCGTTTCTGCGGAAACATGAGCCCCAGAAAGACGAGATCATGGATTGAGACGTACGCTGTCACGGGGCTCGTCATCGTCATCGTCTTGTATTGACGGGGTGACAGACATTGCCTTCACGCCTCGTTTTCTCTTACCATTGGCGGGAGTAGAGTCGATATCAGCAGCTGCTTTGCCCTTGCCCTTGCGGCCCTTACGGCCGCGAGGGGTCTCTATCTCGGCAGCTGGAGAGCCGAGAGAGTCGATATCCTTGAGTGATTTAGTTGCGCCACGGCGCGCATTTCTCTCGCGGGCGCGTTCAGCTAGCTCCTGTATGTCTTCACCGTCCTCTAAAGCCTAGTGCGCACGCGTAAGCGTAAGCGGCGTGCATGCGGAAGCTCAGCTGTCACTCACCATCGCCCACTGGTCGTCGTCAAGGCCGTCAGTGTAGTTGACGACAGCTCTCCGACGATGGCCACGGCCCTCTAGCTCGTCAAGCTCGTCTCTGTTGTCGAAAGGTTCGTCCATCTGGTAGCATTCAGGCAGCTCCTCGAGTTGCATCAACGGCAGCGGTGGTTTGCCACGGTGGCCCGCAGCTTTCCACGCCTCCTGCGCTTCGCGGTCGCGTTGGATGTCGATATCACGGAATATCCGTTCCTCTTCCTCGCTCCGAGCAATAAGCTCGTTGATTTCCTCGTCACTCATGTCACCGGCTTCTTCATTCTCCTCTTCTTGGTCGTTTTCGAGGATAGACCGCTATAAAGAGCGTGAACTAATGAGCAAATGCGGTGCGAGCACTATTGACTGAACGCACCAAGAATTGCTCCTGTTCTTCTTGTGTCGACTTGTTGTCGAAGCGACCGGCTTGAATGACTTTGTCATCGATGTCCAACTTGTACCGAGCACGTTGAAACATAGACTCCTCTACACTCTTCTCAGTGATGAAACGCAGAATACGGACCACCTTGGTTTGACCAATACGATGGGCACGATCCTGGGCCTGGAGATCGGCGTGCGGATTCCTGGAGGGATATTCAACAACCCAAACACACATCCAATCTAGAAGCAACTCACCAATCACTATCGAAACTATTATCAATCAAATTGTTCCTGCGTTAGTATCGCCGTGTGCAGATATATAACACATGACGCACATAATGACGGTGTCGGCAGTCTGCAAATTGAGACCGAGACCGCCAGCTCGTGTTGAAAGGATGAAGACCCTAATATCTGAGTCTGGCGCATTGAACAGTTGCACGTGTCCCGCACGATCCTCGGTCTTGGTGCCACCGTCCAGTCGAAGGTACTTCCACCCCATGAATTTCAAGAAGTCTTCCATGATATCCATGACCTTGGTCATTTGGAAGAAGATGAGGACCTATGCACAAAGAAAAGGTGAGTGTACTATATAAACCAAGCAGGGCCAGCTCACCCTGTGATCGGTCGCGAAGAACTTGGGAAGGATACGAGACAGCAACTCGATCTTGCCTGAGGCGCGGACGATCTTATCGTCAACAATGCCGGACGGGTTGATCCTGTCTTCGACGCTTTCGAAGAGGAAAGGGTGCTGACAAATCTTCCGCAGCTGCATCAGCTCGTTGCTTAGACCCTTCACACCACCGGATTTGCTGCAGGTGGGTATATGAGCACTAGCGTGCAGAAATATCTTCAAAGATTTCCGAACTTACCCCTTAGTGTCCTTCCCGTCCGCAATCATCTTGTACTTCTTCATCTGCTTGTACAGCTGGGACTGCAAGGCGCTCATCCGGACTTTGATGACCTTCTCGACCTTGTCCGGCAGCTCGGATTCGACGTCCTTCTTCAACCTACGCAGCAAGAATGGCCGCAACACTTTATGCAGGCGGCGAATAATGAGAAGTGCCTCTTCTTCGTTCAACTCAATCTTGTCTCCGGTGCCAGAGTTCGCGAATGGTGTGTTGAACCACTCATCGAACGACTTCACCGAGTTGAAGATCTTAGGTAGAACGAAGTTCAACAGCGCCCACAACTCAGGCAGGTTGTTCTGCAGCGGCGTTCCCGTGAGAATGAGTCGGTATCGCGAGTGGTAGTGCTGCGTGAGAGTTTGCGCAAGCTTTGATTGAGTGTTCTTCATGCGATGCCCCTCGTCTGACGAACGGCTACTTAGTATATGATCGTGACGATTAATTTCTACGACAATTGTCACTCACCGATGATCATGTGTACCCATTTCAGGCGGGCAAGGTGGACACGATCCTTAATGATGTATTCGTATGTAGTGAGCAATACCTGGAAGTTGCCTGAACGAATCTCGCTCTGCAAGATTTTACGCTGCTGAGGATTGCCTTTGTATGCAATCATCTTCACGCCCGGCGCCCACTTGGCGAACTCGCCTGACCAGTTGGTCATAGTAGAAAGAGGAACGATGACGAGGTATGGTCCACGTTGCTTCTTCGACTCGATTAAGAAAGTGATCAAGGAAATAGTCTGGATAGTCTTTCCGAGACCCTGCACCAAGCGTAAATGAGACAGCCTCGCCCAAATATGCAGGTCCACTCACCATCTCGTCAGCAAGAATTCCGTTCAACCTGTTGTTGTACAGGCTGACCATCCATTGCAGACCCTTCAGCTGGTAATCCTTCAATGTACCGCCTATAAGCAGACTCGGTTGCTTCGAGATCTTCTCCTTAATCTTGTGCGCCACCGCATAGTAGTCCGTTCTGCCCTTGTCGTCCTGCTCGCCTTCGAATTGCTGCGCCCCGAACGTCGCTTCGCCGATAGGCCCGTCCTCGACCTCAAACGGCGCAGGATGAGTATCGAATATCGACTGGTCCTGCTGCTGCTCCATGACAGCCTGCGCGAGGGAATCCAGGTACGTGTCGGTCTGACGCAACAGATGCGTGATACGCGTATCCTTTGCTGTGTCGATCAGCTTCATGTACGCCTCCTCGTCATCCGCCTTCAGCGCCTTCAGACGCTCTTTCGAAATCCGCTCGATGCGCTTTTGCTCCTCCTTCTCTGTATGTGCGTGGAACGACAGTACGGCTTTGCCCAGGCGTATGATACGGTCCTGTGCGGCGCGATTGGCGGCGACGACCTCGCGCCCATGCATGCAGATAACATCCAACTGGTCGATGTGTTTCTGCTTCGCACGTCGCTCACGATCCACGCGCTGTTTCCTTTCCAATTGCTCCGTCATCCGCGCGTCCCTGATGCCAGGCTTGCGCACCCGCCGGAAATCCACACGGTTGAGCGGTAGCAGCGAGCCATGCGTAAGGCGTTCCGCGACGAGCGCGCGCATGTTGCGCTGCTTATCGAGCACACGCAGGGATTTCAGCTCGATCAGAGCACGCAACTTGCCGTGTGTGCTTGGAGGTGGATGGATCATTGATAGGTCCTCGATGTTGCCAGTAGTGTTTTCCTTGTCCTCAGGCATGATATCGTCAAGGACATTATCCAGCCCGCCCTCACCCATCGTCGCGGGCATCTGCTCGAGTTCGCGCATACGCTGCTCGATCCGAGCGTCGACGTAACGATTACGCTCCGCAATGATCTCGTGTGGATCCAGACCTGCTGGCATCAGGGAGGGAATTAACAGCCGTTGTAGCCTTGTGGCAAGCATCGCTGGCGTCGTCGCCCCATCAAGCTTCAGAAACTCTAGTGGATTCAGATAAGCATTGTACGGGTAGACCCCGGAGTTGATGTCCTCTTCCAAAAACGGACCCTTCGGCATGTCCGTCATGTCAATGTCCTCGGGCTTCACTTCCTCCGCTGCGGGTGTCTGCTCGGCGACAGTCAGCGTGCCCCCGCTCGTACTCTTCTGCAGCTTGACCGCGCTGTCGACGATCCGCGCATTCACGTCCTGCGGCTGCAGGAACTTCTCAAGCTCGGGGATGACTTGGCTGGGTACCCGCATCGCCTGCTGAAGCGCCTCGGGAATAGGCTTGTTGTGCATGAGCATCTTAAATGCTTTGATCTGTGCACGCAGTGCATCGATCTGCTCTGGCGTGAACGAGACCGGTGTGTGTGGTGCTGCTGGATATGGTGGAGCCGATGTGTGCCCATTCACGAGAGCGTTGCCGTTGGTGAGGGGAGCACCGTTAGTGAGTGATACGGCTGCGCCAAGGCCATTGACCGCGGTGTGCGAATGATCCGTAGCGGCATTCTCTGTTTGAACCAGGTCAGCGAGACATGCATAATACGGGTTGAGTGGACAGAAACATAAGTAATGACTCCCGGACAGCATTCGACCGAGCGTCGGACACCGTGCATAGGCGCCGCGGGAAAGCGACTACACAGTAACAAAGGACCCGCCCAGACTTTCGCAGGTGCGGGTTTCATTGGCTCGCGCACCAAGACACTATACATATAAGAAGACGGTGGAACTGTGGCCCAGGATGTATACTGCCTCAATCATAAGCCATTAACCACGAGAGCAAATCCATGAAAAACAATGCATGGGCAAGTGCAAGTGAATGGCACCAATCATGCAGGTAGTGTTCGAGTCTGAAAGTTTCGACATATCTAGCCAAGACCCACCAAGGCGTCACCTTCCGTGCGGCAATACCCAGGGCACTCTGTATAGAAAGGGATCTTTCATAGGGTCGAGCCACTCACGAAACATTAGATCACTGTTGCCTGCGTGATATTGCCATACGAACAAAGACGTGCTCGATGGGCACAAGCATGCAGCTTACTATGAACGAAGAGGCGACAAAAGCTCTTCGCCAAAGGTCTGAAAGGCCAGAAACTGGTACGCCTATGACGCTAGACGGGGAGTGGCAAATCAAGGCCTCGATACGGGCGAAGAAGTCCCGTGTATCCATAACTCGATGAAGCAAACACGAGACCCCCACTGAGAGTAATTGAGAAGCGAAAGCAGAGGACTCGTCTCAACTGGAGTCGCTCATGAAACTAATCCCAGAGATAGGCCGACGGAGTGGTCGTTCTTTCCTCTCCTCACTTCGGAGGCGGCGGACGCGCATCGAGACAACAACGCCCAGTGAGAGACAGTATGACACATCGAAAATGCTCCAGCACATAAGCTTAAGACCAAGAGGACCACAAAAGAGACCAGCGAAGTACTTCAAGACACCACCATAGCTTAAGCATCACACCCGTCTGAAGTGCTCGAAGACTCGCCCACAACACGGCCGTCTCTCAGCCAATCACAACATTGTCTATCTGAGTGGCAGGCAACTCCAGATGCCAGATAGTACCAGTTAAAAAGAGAAGATGCAAGGCAGAATAAAAAGAGAAACAAGGTGTGACCGAGAGGTGAAGAACTCACGTTGCTGGATCTGAGGCTGCAGCTGGGCAAGATATTGGTAAATCTTCGCAAGCTCTGGACTGTTCTCGGCGGTGAATCCCTGTGCACGGAGAGCGTTCGCCCGCTGGCAGAGTGTCAAATGCATGGAACAGTGGTAAACAAGACATTGACACATACCTGGACCATCTGCTGAACATGTTGGCGAGCGACATTGGGTGGGATAGGCTGTCTGTTGCCGTTGAGATACGGCTGCGATTGAGGAAATTGCGGGTTTGGGATGTTTGGCGCTGCCATCTGGGCGGACTGGATAACGCGATGTCTCGCAGGACGCGACTGGTCGCGCGCGTCGATCTCGTGAACCGAGGGGTTGCGGCAAGAGGGTGCAGACGCTGACAAAGCACTGCTTGCTCCCCTTTGTCCATTTTTGGTCGCCGCTCGGACGGCACGTGATCAGACGCGTCGTGGGCGCGTCCACGCGCAGGCTGCTCTTTCCACCGCCACACGCACTAGCATCCAAGATGCCTGCAGAAAGAGCTGGAGTATGCACCATTACTCAATCTTTCTGCTTCCTCTAACATGACCATAGTACACTGTGACAATGTTCCTTGTGGACATCTCACCGTCCATGGGCAAGTTGCGGGAAATCGAAGTTCCTAGCGGGAAAGATGGAGAGCTAGACACTATTGAAATAACCAACCTCGAATTGGCGTTACAGTTTGTGATGCTGAAGATACAAGAAATGGTATGAATTGGCGCTGCTCTTTTGTCAGGCTGCGCTCACAGTCGCAACACAGATCTACAACGGACGTAAAACCGACCAATGTGGCGTGATTACTTTCGGAAGCGAAGGTATTCCTCAATCACGATTTGTTGAACTTCAATGAATGTGCGCTCTTAGAGACCGACAACATCATTCATGAAAAGCATGGCGGCTATGAAAATGTTTCAGAGTACATTCCCATTGGCCAGCCTAACGCTGGCACGCTAGCCAAGCTGGCACGTTTACAACCATCAACAGTAATTGGAGATCGTAAGTAGTTTCATTGTGTAGAGTTGGCTATGGGCTCGACCTTGGACTAGCTTTGGTGGATACAAACCCCACCAAAGTAGATGTTCGCGGAGCTTTCTTCCTGGCGCTGGTCATCGCTCCAGTGCCGTTTTATACTCAACTGAGCCCTCAGCCATCGACGCGCTCATTGTTGGAATCGAAACGCAACACCAATATCTCTCGTCAAAGAAAACATGGACACGCAAGATGGTACTCCTCACTGACGGCGAGAACCCGATTGAAGTCGAAGATTGGGAGGCCACAGTGCACAAGATGAACACAGTTCAAATTCATTTGACGGTCGTGTAGGTTACACTAATCACTTCAGACCACGAGAAGGGATCTAATTCTCGCACAGAGGTGTCGATTTCGATGACGAATATTTACCTTTTCTGGAAGAAGGCAAGAGCAACATCAAGGTTAGTCCGTTAGTGGGATTCCAATGCACTGCCATGAGTGAATATAAAGTGGCGCAGCGTGCAAATGAAGAGTTCTACCACACGCTCGCAAAGAGTATGGCCCATGGAATCGTCGGCAATTGCGACTTCGCGCTGCAAGAATTGTCGCGCCCGGACATCAAGCAGACAAAGTCGGCATTACTGGGCACCGTGCTTCGCATCGGCGACGTGGACGCACGGCCAGAAGAGGCTATGGAGATTCTCGTAAAGACAAGCAAAGCTACTGCCATTGCCCGCCCAAAGAGCTGGAAGAAGTTTGCCAGACGGCAGAAAGAAGAGAGCCAGGAGGAAGCCAATATACCGCTCGATGAGGAGACTGAAGTCTACGCCCAGCTGCACATGCGTACGCAGTACATGATTGAGAAGCAACCACCTGAAGGCGAAGAGGACCAGCCACCCGTGTATGAGCAGCTTGAGGGCATCACCAAGGAAGAGCTCGTGCGCGGGTTCAAGTACGGCTCGTCCTACGCGCCCTGTCCCGGGGGACAGTTTGAGCGGCTGCCAACGCGGCGCGGCATTGACATCTGCGGGTTTTTCCTGGAGAAGAATTTCCGGCGCGAGTGGGAGATGTCTGAGGTGACGTATGTATGGGCGGACCCGGCCCAACCACTACAACAGGTCGCACTGAGCGCGGTGGTGCAGGCGATGTATGAGAAAGGTGCCATGGCGATAGCGCGATGGGCAAGCCGCGACGGGATGGACCCAAAGATGGGCGTCCTTCGCCCTACGATGTTTGAGAAGGCAGACTGTTTTATGTGGGTGCAGGTGCGAGGCTTTATGATCTTATTGAGACAGTCGAGGTGAACGCTCTGTCTAAGATGCCATTTGCGGACGACGTGCGCAACTTCTCCTTCGCGTCCCTGGAGACGTTGATCAACAAGAAGGGCGAGGTGGTCACGGACCATCCGTATCTTCCAACGGACGAGCAAATGGAGGCTATGGAGCATTTCGTGGATGCGATGGATTTAATGGATGCTGGAGAGAAAGACGAGGAGGGGTGAGTCGATTTTTTCCATCTCTTCCCTATCTCGCATCATCTCATATTCCTTGTTAGTAATCGCGAGCCCTGGTTTGATACCCGTCTCTCGTACAATCCGGTGATACACCGCACAAAGCAGGCGCAGTTCCACGCCGCGATAGTCGCAGACCTGAACACTCATCCACTCCCTCCTGCACATTCGGAACTGACGAAATATTTCGAACCTCCCAAGCGCGTGCTGAAGCGCAGCCGGGATGCGATCGAGGAATGCAAGCAAGTCTTCAAGATCAAAGAAGGTATGTCGCTCACTATTGCCGGAGCTCCGCTAGTTGATGTCACGACTTACAGTCCCGAAGAGAGTGGTGCAGACACGCAAGGATGGGCACGTACGCGCAGGAGACGAAGACGAGGATATGATTCTCCTGGACAAGATGCCACGTCGCAGGCTATCCAAATCCGCCTCACAGTTCGTCGCCTCTCAACAAGAAGCATCCACCTCACGATCCCAGGTACCGCGACGGAAGAAGAGTAATCCCAATGACAGTGCCACCGAAAGCGAAACTGAGGATGAAGACGAAGAGCTGCTGCTTGACAAGAAACAGCTCCCTACTCCGGTGCCGGACGCCGACGAGGGTTCTGATGCGGCCCCAACGGCGAGGATCGTGGGCACAGAATCTCCACTTGAAGACTTCAAGGATAATATCTCACGTGGAGACTTGGTTACCAAGGCGGTCGAGGATCTCGGGGCCGTCATCAAGGAGATTGTGCTGAGACCGTTTTCTGCCCGACGTACAGAGGAAATGCTCCAATGCATGCAAGAGTTGAGGAAGGTCTGTTTGGAAGAAGACGAGGTCGACGCATGGAACGCGTACGTTCGTTGAGCTTCCTGTTCAGCACGATACTCACTCTCGCATACAGCTTCTTACCAGATCTCCGTCAAGCGAGTGTCGAGAAATCTGGCGACCCGGATTTCTGGCTGCGAGTTCGGGACCTCGGGCGAGCCATCAGCCTCATCAGTTCCTCAGAAGCCTCGTCACTTGGTGGTAAATCAGACATCTCAGAGACGAACGCCGTCGAGGTAAGATCCCATGCCGCGTGGTTCTGATTCACCCTAACATCGATCCGTTTCCAGTTCATACAAGGTTAGCCTGCAGATGATGTACACCGTTATTCCTTGCTCTTGCATACATCGTCTTATTGCTCTTACTGTAACCGTCACGATATCCCCTTAAGGTCGCTTGGATGTATCACAGTGCTCGCTATATCAATACAGTCGGTACATTAATTTCTGCCCCACCATCCACCGAGTAGACTGCTAAGTCCACTACGAGCAGAGGCAGACGGCTCCGGGGTTGGTGCCCGATCTATCTCGTCTACCCGGGCTCTCGACGGTGCCGTCTTCTCTGGCGCAGGCGCAGCTGGAACATGCGCTTGTGGCGCAACCTTTGCAGCCACAGGCTTCTTGCCTGCCCGCTCCTGCAACCGCTCCATATCCAGTTCAACATAGTTAAGCGCAATGTCGAAGAATAGCGGCTTCTTATACGTCTTACTGTCTGTGCCGAGCGAGCCGCCGTTGAACGCAAACCAGTCCTTCTTATACTGCAGGCTGTCGGCCGCGACCTCGCCCTCCAGCCCGTCGACATCCGGAGCCGTCAGTGTGTAAAACACCCGTGCGCCTGCCGTGATAGGGTCTGTCTCGGCGATGACGGACAGGATGGAGCGCGCCTCGCGCAGGTGCAGATTCGCGTGCTGCGTCAGGGTGAGCGCCTCCGCGTAGCGCTTCTGCGGGGCGTAAGACCGCGCGAGGTAGCGGCACCGGCGCGCCTTGGTGAACGACAGCCGCGCGTCGACGGCCGACGCGAGGTCCGGGCTCTCGTCCACGATCGTGAGCGTGCGCATCTGGTCCAAGCTCTGCACGACCGTGTCGAGCAGCTTGACGATCGCAGGGAAGAGACGCGCGTCGACGTGCTCCTTGCGCGGCCTGTTGCTGGAGGGTCCCGCAGTGGCGGTCAGGCGCTGCACTTGGGACTGATGCAGCAGAGTGGAGATGAGGAGGAGGTCGCGTTGGATGCGGCATGAGAGGAGCTGGTAGACTATGTATGCATACACGAATTGTATGTCCCGCGTGCCAGCTGTCATGCTCAGCGACGATGAGCCGCTCAGCTGAAAGATGAAATAAGCTCGCAGCCCTGGGGTTCGGATAACTGAGAACACACCTGGTGCACTTCGACAAGCTTGCGCGCCACCTCCTCCGCATCGCTCAGAGCGAGCAGGATCGCGTCGTACGCCGCAACGCCGCGCTTGGACCGCGTACCCTTGCCCACCTTGCCCTTCTTCCTCTTACCGGCCTCGGCCTCCAGCTCGACCGGCCGCTCTTCAGGCAGGTCCGACTCCTTCAGCCTTCGCTCCGCCTCCTGCACCTTGAGCAGCACGTCCACCAGCTCCGGGCTACGCACCGGCACGGGCTCGTCTTCCCACAAGAGCGGCTCGAGCTTTGCACGCCCCTCCGCCGCACCCGTCTCCTTGCCCAGACTCGCAAGCAGCTCATCGCACCCCTCAACGATGTCGCCGCGCTGTGCCGGCGCGAGGCCTGCGACGATCGCATCGACGTCGTGCGGATTTGTGCGGCGCAGCTCATGCGCGCAGTACCTGATTTCGGGGCCGATCTCGTCTGCAAAGGCGGTCGCAAGCGCCTGATCGCGGCTGGTCGCAGCTTTGGCTGCAAGCGCATCGAGCAGGCTGCGCGCGACGCTGAGCTGGGCGAGAGCGTCTTCATAGTCGTAGCGGTGCCGCAAAAAGCGGCCATTCACGATGAGAGTGTATACTGTCACTTGAACGACGTCCTCTGGGCTCAGGCGATCAATGGTGTACAGGGCCTGGCAATGCGAGAGCAGCTGAGTGGACCAGTTTACCGCACGGCGGAGACGGCTCGTGGCGTGTCGGCGGAGGGTGGACGGGGTGTCGTGTCCCTTGGCTGCTGCACTTTTCGGGTGGGCTTCTGTCTGCACAGCTTGAGCGGATAGCTCTTGAGAGTAGACCCATGCTCGCTCCGCTTCGAATAGGAGCAACTGCAGGCTGATATGATGCATTAACATAGCACGGCTATATAGTAAGGATCCCACGCACTGTCCCTCCTTGATCGCGTCGGTTTTCAGCGGAGGCAGTTTCTTGAATTCTCGACCTTTGCCGTGCGTCGTTTTCAGCGATGACCGCAAGCGGTGTGTCCTATTGGCACAGTGCTTCCTGCGGGCGCGACTTCAGTTCCCTCACATTTTTGAGCGGTGCATATGCATACCTGTAACGTTCATAGTCGTTGTATCGCAGACCATAGGCACTGCGCTGCTCATTGGCGAGGAGCAGGGCTGCACAGCATCAGCTTCTGAGAGATCGAACATAACGTCTCGATACACACCATGGAAGCTGATCTTCCCTTCCGCTGCGGACTGGGCCATTGCAAAATACGCGAGTATATGCTAGAATGTACTAGCGCACCCGAGCGAGTAATGAGAACGATGAAAAGGAGCGAACGCGTCTGCTCGATCGACCCGCTCGCGCGATCACTGCCATTTGCTTCCCATTCCGACCGGACCTGCACCATCCGCCTCTGGCACGCTGCCTACCTAGCACACAGCTATGGCCTCAGAAACTCTTGAACCGACGCTGCAGAATGTACTCGACCAGAAATCACTCAAATGGATATTCTGCGGCATGTATTGCCTGCCGGATCATGCGGAGGCTTGTTGACTTACTCTCGATCTCCAGGTGGAAAGGGAGGCGTCGGTGAGCCCAATTGTCTGAGGGACGTTGAATGGCACGAGTAAATGTACGCTCGCCAGGCAAGACCACCACGTCATGTTCCCTCGCTATCCAACTAGCATCATGCCGCGAATCCGTCCTGCTGATCGTCAGTTGCTCTGCGTTCCCCGCCATTCCACAGCTAACATGCGGCTCGCTAGTCTACGGATCCCGCGCACAACCTCTCCGACGCCTTCGGCCAGAAGTTCTCGAAAGAGGCGACAAAGGTGAACGGGTTCGGCAACCTGTACGCCATGGAGATCGACCCGACGAGCGCCATCCAGGAGATGGTCGAGCAATGTGCGTCTGCCGCACCCCTGCCCGCCCTCCGCATGCGCGCCCCGCTCACGTACCCGCAGCGGACTCGAACGGCATGATGGGCAGCATGATGCAGGATCTCGCGTTCGCCATCCCGGGTGTAGACGAGGCGATGAGCTTCGCCGAGATCATGAAGTACGCGCGCCCCCGCTCGCCCGCCCTACGTGCTGACCCGGCGCACCCGCAGACACGTCAAGTCGATGGAATACTCCGTCATCGTCTTCGACACCGCGCCGACGGGGCACACGCTCCGCTTCCTCTCCTTCCCGACCGTCCTCGAGAAGGCGCTCGGCAAGCTCAGCGCGCTGAGCGGGCGCATCGGGCCCATGATCAACCAGGTGGTGTATCGCACGCTCAACTCCACCCACCTTCCGCTCACGGTGTTGTGCAGATGACCAGCCTGATGGGCGGTTCTGCCGACGCACCAGAAGACATGTTCGCGAAGCTCGAGTCCATGCGGGAGGTCATCACCGAGGTGAACACGCAATTCAAAGACCCCGTACGTATTCTGCCCTGCGAGCCGTGTCTACCGCCACTCATCCCCGCACAGGAAAAGACGACCTTCGTCTGTGTCTGCATCTCCGAGTTCCTCTCCCTCTACGAGACCGAGCGGCTGGTGCAGGAGCTGACGGCGTACGAGATCGACACGCACAACATCGTCGTGAACCAGCTCCTCTTCCCCAAAGAAAGTCCGTGCATCCCCGTCTTCTCCTCCCCCTCCCCTCAGCACAGAACTGACTCCAACCCACACACAGGCTCGAACTGCGACCACTGCCGCGTGCGGCATAACATGCAGCAGAAGTACCTCAACGAGGCACACGAGCTCTACGACGAGTTCTTCCACATCGTGCAGCTCCCGCTGCTCACCGAGGAGGTGCGCGGCCCGCAGAAGCTCCAGGAGTTCAGCAAGATGCTCGTGCAGCCGTACGTGCCTGATCTCGATTGACCGGGCGTGCCTCCGCCGGTGTCGCGCGCGCACTCCGCGATCCTTTAGCGCCACGATCGGACCCCCCAACCCAATCTCTCCAGCCCCCGGTGAACGCCGCACGCGCAACCCCGTGCCATTCGGGATCGCGCATACCCTTGCTAGACGCATGACCTCATCCTGTAGTGGTACACGCTAGTATTCATTTCTGACATGACAATAATGCAACGATGCCAGCAGCATAGCAATGCGGAGCGCGTATGTGTGTACTGCGTATGCGCGCCGACGCGCGCGCGAGACCCCCGATGGTGAGACACTGCACGGATTACGTAGGAATAAACAACGGGCCACGTAGCGACCGCGCTCTCAGGCGCACACACACGAGACAGACAAATATCCGCATGCGACTATGTATGTAAGAACAGAACAGAACAATGCAGAGACGACTGAGCATGACGTGAGATGGGAGACTGATACAGATACACAGGCCAGGACGGGTCGGACGGGGCTGGGCGGGATGTCGGGGCGGCGTACAGGGCGGGCGGCGGCAGTGGCAGCGACGAGCAGCGCGCACTACCTCCAGCGCACGCGGCGCGCCCGCGCTGACTCCCCGCCCCATTCCACGGCACTCCTCTACGCGGCCTGCACGCCCGGCCTCCATTACACCTATTTGATACAACCAGAAACACGGACGGGGGCGAGCGACGAGTAGAGCAGCGAGCAACGAGAGACATGAGGCGGGGAGCGGCAGCACAGATGAGCCAAGCGCACATTCTCGACGGCCCCAGGCGGGTGGGCCGATGCGGGTACATGTAGTTATTACTGCTTCGCCTGCTGCTGGCGCTTCGCGGCGAGTGTCTCGATGATATGATGCACGCCCTGCGGCTCGAGCACGACCTTCGTGCCGTCGCAGCGCGCCTTGCTCGTAAACTCTGCGCACAACTCGTTGATGTCGAGGTCCTGCTTGAAAGCGCTCGCGTGAGCATCGCCGCACGACTGCACGTCTAAGGGGGGACGGACCTTAAACTGCGGGTTGCTTGTGATGCTCCGCCACGCCGTGAGCACCTCCACGTTCTTGTCGCTCTTCTCTGTCGGCGGGAACGAGCTCCCCTTGCACATGATCATCGCGCCGCCAGTCTCGTCGGCAACCGCCTTCCGTAGGTAGGGCGCAATGGGCACTTCACATGCGAATGCCGAGTTGCCCTGGTTCGCGATGTGCTTCGCAAGGTCCTCCTTCGTCTTTGGGCACTCGTCCCCAGGCGTCCCACAAGTTGTCCCTGACCCTGGACTGGAAGACGATGACGGTGAACTTGACGACGGCGTGCGGAGGCTAGCATGTGAGACAGGGCTTATTGAGCTTGGCGGGCTCTTGAGCAGCGCGTTGAAGTCGACGCCGTTTTGCGTCCCTATGAAGTTGCCTCCGAATAATTGATCCAGTCCGGCTTCCGAGGGCGGAGACCAGCTCTCGAATGGCGTCATATCGAAGTTGCCGAGATAGTTGGAGTTCGAGGATGTGTTTGACCCGGACGATGGTGAATCGTATGGCGAAGGCTCGGCGAACGACATGAACATCGGGTTCGCCGCAATGGTCTTGTATTGACAATGCGGCTGACCGAAACCGAAGTCGAGGTTCATTGCGCCCTCGGTAGCCGTCGGCTCATCGCTGACGTTCATCATATTTGGATCGAACGAGATTAACGAGTTGAAGTTCAATGATGATTGTGATTGCGGCGAAGAGACTGGTGATCTGCTTGGTCCTGCACCCGGGGAAGCAAAGTTAAAATGTGGTGCGCCTCCGTTGAAGGAACCCGACGCCGGGGTGCCGTTGGCCATGTTCGGCGCATTCTCCCGAGGCATCGAGAAGGTAAAGGTGGCCTGCTGCTTCAACATCATGTTTTCGCTCTGCAGCCGCGACAGCAGATCGCGCAGATTCTCATTCTCAGACTCCGTCATCTGGTTCTTTGCCTCTAGAGCGGCAACCTTATCTTCCAACTGTAGTAACGTCAGATGTATGTAGGGGACATAGAGTGAAAGGCGTACGCACGTCTTTCACATGCTTCTCCTTACGTTCTCTGAAAGCTCGCTGAGCGGCACGGTTCTGCTCCTTACGCTTAAGAAGACGAGACTCATCCTGCGGTGATCGATCAGATTTCATGTCGATCTGTGTGCCGCAGTACGATACATACTTGCGTTGGATTACCTGACGACTTGCGGCGCGAATTCGCCGCCGAGATCGATCCCTTTTTGTTATGTCCATTTGAGTTGTTGCTAGTGCCTGCGTAGGCCGACCTCAGCGCCGGAAGAACCGTCAACCGGGACACCTAATGACGTACCATTGGTATGTTGCGCCTTGTGTGATGGCTCGCCGGCAATACTCTCCTCGCTCGCTTTGCGCTTGAGGCCCGCCTCTTCTGGCTCAGCGGTAGGCGAGTCGTTGAACACTCCTGACTGACGCCTCGACGGGCTGTGCTCGTTGTTCATGCTGGACGGGCTCGGGCTGCTATCGCTCGACGGCGGGCTAGGATTTGGGTGCGGGAGGCGGGTGAGGCTCTGGGGGTCGACGACATCAGGGAGGCCATCGAAGGGGGCGGGCGTGGCGCCTATTGCGGTAGGGAATTGCTTCTCGAGGAATGCGAGAAAGTCGTCGTCAGGGAGTGCGGAAAAGGTGTTCGGCTGCTGCGAAATGTCCCAAAAGTGCGACACGCCGGAGAAGGGATCCATGGTCTGCAGGTGGCTGCGAGGGGGGAATTGCGTCAGGGGCGGGACAGAGGCTGTCTGACCTAAGCTGCGAGCCTGGCTCGGGCGGAGCTCGTGGGAGCGGGGTGAAAACCGGAAAGCTGAAACCGTGCGGGGGATTATGAAGCAAGCTGGTGGACGACGAGGACAGTACGCGGCGAGGCTGACGACGACGACGAGGGCGGGGGAGAGGGCGGGGAGAGGAGGGCGGGAGAGAGACGAGGAGGTTGCTGGGAGAAGGTGGCGGGAGATGCCGTGGGATGCGCAAGCCAGCCGCGCTCCGCTCGGGGTCCGTAGGCCGCTCGTCGAGTCGGAGCTGAAACCGCCACCTGCATCTGCTGACCAACCCACTCCCCTGCCCCCGTGCTCTCAACAGGCGCGCCCGCCCCGCGCCCGAGTGTCCGAGCATGACTCGATCTCCCGCTCCCGCTGTGAAACCTGACGCGCTGCACTGCACTGCACGCTCGCTCGCTCGCTGTCCCCTGCCCTGCGCCTGCGCACTGTGTCCTCCGTGTCGTCGCAATAGAGCGCCGCCGCAGCCCCTCGCACGTGTCTCACATCTCGTCTTCTTGCAGATTCTGTCGCTGGCGAGGTCTTTCCGCACCGCGTCCAGGCGCGTGCACGCCCTCCAGGATCGCACAGCAGCTGCCCGAACACATCCGACCGTTCCCAGCCACTACCACCTTCCCCAGGGTCCCCCCTAGGGCCCCATGATCTGCGCTCGCACGTTTCGCCCACCGTGGGCGCCCACGAATCTCCCCACTGGCCAACCCGCGGCGCGCGGCCAGTCCTCGGCGCGTCCGTCCGCGTAGGATCAGAAATGCGAGAATGCCAAGGTACGACATGGCTGTGTTCTCGTTCACTGTGCAACCGAGCGTGCCCGCACGCCCCACTCGCTGTCTCGAAGCTCGCGCTTAACACTGCACCGTGCTGCTGCGATACTGGCGTACGGCTACATTGTTCGTGGCGTCTGTCATTGGCTGCGCCTGCGCAGTGTTCTGCGATTGATCGGGAATGCTACCCCCTCGGCTTTGTCGTGCCGGTCTAGCCTCCTACGAGCGCTGCAAAATTAATCTCTATTGCAATGCTGGTGTCAAGACCTTTCCTAAGCGTCACTACAGCACTAAACAAAAGCGCAGTGACAATCAGGCTTCAGCGAGCTCCCTTTTATGCACATCCGCTTGTGATCCCCATCAGCCCAGCCGACGTACGACTCCCGGCGTCGGCGAGTGAATGAACCCTGAGCGTCTCACTCTATCACTGAATCAGGCCACCCCTCAATGCGACGTTGTTGAAATTGGTCTCGGCGCGCGTATCGTCCGCGCACACGTACGCCGTCGGCCGTCTCGCTGCGAACTGCCTCCGCGCCTGCGCCGCGTAGCGCACCTGACCCTGACATCGCTTCTCGAGGCTCGCGAATCTGGACTGCCCACGTCTCCGTCGACGAGCCGCTCACCACACCATTCGCGCGCGCGTCGCCGACGCGGGCGGAACACATGCCAGCCTGTGAGCCGATGTTCCATACTGTGGAGTACGGGGTTTTGCAAAGTCGATCAATTTTGCAAAACACCGTGATCTCGTCTTCTACCTTAAAGACTGTACTTCTGACACTTGTATGACATTATAGACATACATTGTAGTCTACTTGTGAAGCCGATTGAGGAGAAATAGATTTGTTGTGGAATGGGAGCCTTAAGACACTTTGTATGGCTTTCTGCAAATTCTTGATAAGACAGATGTACAGTGATTATGAGCCGTTGTCCCCAATCGGACATCCGATTTAGTATGTTCCAACCATGCCTTTCTTGATCCTCCAGCCCGATATACTGTCAATAGAGTGAATCGCGGTGTGTGGATGGTTTGCAAAATGAACGTGACATTCCCTGCCACCATGCGTGATGATTCAATCCCCGCCCTCAAACATGATTGCAGATGACACACTTGGTCGCGCTGTTGCAGCTTCTGCCACGGCGGAGTTTGCACTTGCCGGCGTGACCCGTGAGTGACAGAGTTTGCAGAACTACCGCACTTTAGCTGCTTCCAGCCGGCACCTCTCTACTGCTCGCAATTCATCATGGATTTCCTTAAAACTTGGTATACGAACTGCCAAGACCATTAGAAATGATGCCTGATTGGTAGAACAGTAGCTACTTTGCTCGCTCGAGCACATAGGCCCAGGCATCAAAATGTTTTGCAAAACCCCGTACTCCACAGTATGCCATTTTTGTGCGCGATACTGATGACGCACACGCTCCGAATAGGAGGGGTCCAGGCGTTCAGGAGGCTTCGCTGTGCCCCCCAGGTTCTAGTTCCCGGTGGCGGGTAGACTGTCTCTGCAAATCGCAATTGCCCCACACCTATCTCCGATTCAGCGGCCTTGAACGATTTCGTCCCGTCCTCTGTCCCGCGATCTCCCGCCGCGCACAGTTGAAGCTGGGCGGCACTGGACCGTCCGCTACGTTTCCGAGATACCAGGTATGCTGAGTTAGTGGATACTCCTGTCGAGCGTCGCGAGACACCCGGCAGCATAATCACATATTATATATAGATCCATGCTCCGAATATCTCGATTGGATATCTGGAGCTGGCGCAGGTTGAAGTCCACTTTGTTGTTTATTAACACCTCTGAACAGCATGGGTTTACACTTTCTGAACTATTACTGTCTTGCATTGATGGCAGCCAAGGATAGTAGAGCGGGAGGTAGAGGATGAAGGTTATTCACATCAGTCATAATGTACAAGCTGTACTAGTACCGTGCAGCTCTAGTAATCATGGTGCGGAACTTGTCATCAAACAGGCTATACCATCTATTGCCATCGAGCTTCCATTGGTACTCTCCCTTAACCTTCCTGGGAACCAGAAATGCTACTTCTGTGCCCACTAAAGCAACACCCATAGCTTTGCCTGGGACCCACCGAGCACCATCATCAACACGCCGCATGTATTCCTGCAACTGCTCCAATGTTTTGTCCCTCAACCGGTCCAACCCCATTTCAGTGAGCCCCTTGGGAAGGGTGGCAATCTCCATGACAAGTCGCACCTTGTCCTTCGAGACATTTTCTCTCTCGTGGACCTGTGAGGGTACCGGATCATGTTCACCATCGGTATATTCGCAGACCACAAAGTCAGGGTAAACTTTTTGACCTGCTGTGTTTGACTTGTACACGAATCCTGTAACCTATAGATGAGTGCAAGCAGCCGTCCCACTAACAAACGACAATCACCTTTGCGAGTGGAGTCAGTGGTAATGTTTCCCTCCTGGAGTTCACAACGAAGATCTAAAAGCCTCTCACGTTCATCATCATCCGGCGGAAGGGGATCGTCATCTTCTTCACCCCAGTTGAGGAGCAAGGCGTCGTCTGCCTCTTCAATTGGTGTGCGAATGAGCGCTTGCGGTTTGATCATGTGTTCATCGCGATTGAATTTCAGGCCCAGGTATTTATTTATTGGACCATACTGCTGAAATTGGCTGGGCGTCGTGTCCCGCCACTTCCCAATTCTCGATTTCAATAATTTGGGGATCGACCGATCGTTAGGGGCAAACAGCTGAACCCTGCAGTAAATGTTATGTTATGGCATATAGTCAAAGAGACAGCGACGAACTCTTCGAGAGGCATGGTAGTGCTACAATGACTCATTACCATCTATGTTAAGCATGCGTGGGAAAACTGACTGCGCACCAGAAGGAGGTGGAGCAATACTGAACTCGAATAACAATGCTGTTGTGTTGTGTTGGAGGAGATGGGCAACAGGTAATGAGAAAGAGCTTCTAGTAGCGGCGTCGTGGTGGTATGGGTACAACCATGCGAAGGAATGAGTTACCTCGCGCACGACTATGTACGATTGCTCTCTAATCAAATCAGATCTATCGTGGGGAAATGTCGGTTTCCAGCATACTCATCTAACTCTCTCATCCTCCGCCGATCCCCACAGCTCTTCTGCTTTCTTTCCCAAGAGGCGGGCGAGATTGCGATCGGGGTACCCACCACCTGAGAAGTGGATAGCCCCCCGGTGTCCGGGGGGCCTGATTTCAATCTCTGCGCCGTCTGAATCTCTGAATAACGCCTGCAAGACCTTCACTATCCTCCTAGAGTTCCGTAAGGTGATTTAAATTCAATACAATTGTGTTTATACAAAAAGAAATGAATTTTGTGCTGCTGTGGGAAGCAGCTATCGGATTTGTTTTTCTTGTGTGCAGAGCGTGTAGCCGCGGGCACGTGACACGTGTTGCCGAAGAGCGCGTCGCGCCGCGAGCCGACATTCATCGTTCTCGCCCAACACACTTGCTAAACACTATATTGCTGTATAAACACAGTACCCCGGGATAGTGACGACAACATCTGCTCATTCAATACTATTTTCTTCTGGCAACTTGAGCTATCTGGCTTCCATGCACCTGCCCTGCCGACTTTGTCGTCTGCCACTGACTCGGACATCTACATCCAAGTACCGCAAGTGTTCGCGGGCAGAGACGATGCGGGTTGACAATGCGACACAGCCGACAAAACGACGCCAATTTTTAGCTAATATACTTACCAGAGCGACCCCACCATGTATTTGAACGTAAACTTTAACGACGATTTAATTACATTAAGCATATGCCTGCTCGAGTATGGGAAAAAACGGCACAGCCGCCTGCCCATTATGGTTAGAGCGTTTGTCACATGACGCGTTCTGAGGTTATCTTACTTCCCGGGTCCTCTCAATGCGCGCGGTGAATGTGGCTCATTGCATTAATATTGTTGCCCGCCTCTTGTTCTTTCCTGCAAAGACACTCTGTCAAAATGCCTCGAATCATCTGCACAGGTTACGAGATTACAGATGCGCTACGGAAGTATCTCGAGGTCGGTCACGGCGTAGATTTCGACAAGGATCTAGCAACCGACTCGGAGGACGACGATGAAGTAGACGAGATCAACAGCAATGTTGACCCGCAGAAGCTAGCCATGCAACGAGAAGCGGAAATCGTTATGTCTTACCAAGGCTACTTCAGATCCATTCGTAACAGCGCTCGACCAGAGATAAGAAAGACACTTGAAATACCATACAGTGAGTACGTGGCAGTGGCTTCATTTAGCTTGCTTGACATTGTCTCTTTTACTGCACAGGTTATAATAAATATGTCGAGCACGGTCGTCGAGTCTACATGTTCATGCCCACTGGAGCATACACTCTCGAGCACTACAGGTCTGGTGCTCTTGCATCTCCACCTGAGGAAGACCGGAAGGTTATCCAGTCATTCATCGACTCTATGAACGCCTTATTACCGGACGACGTCGTGCGCGAAAAGGCAGAGCTCAAAATCGAGGAGATGCGGTTTGAGGTTCACTCTCCGCGAGCTGCACATGCGCCTCCGTATTACCGGCGCGAGCGTGAGGTCCGCTGATAATCACTGTCCCTTGACTGCATGCCACCGATACATATTTGCTTTTCAGGAACTTTTGCCTCCCCGTCATCTGCGGGCTTTCATAGGCGATAGCAATAGCAAGAGATTACAGAATTTTCCGCCAGCAGATGATTTCCCATGAGCGAGCCAACATAGGTGGCGGCCCATGCGGCTAGGCGCTGGACGTTCGAGTTCCAAAGCTCGGTGGCTCAGCCGCCGGGTGTGGTCGCTTAAGCCAGGGATTTTCTTTCACTCCTTCCTTTCTGAATCGCTGCCAGGCCATGTATCATATTTGCCAGACCACAATTCATGGCTATCGACAATTATCTTGTTGCGCAGTCTTTGAAATCGGCACTAAGGCCCGTTCTCGTTGTCTATATTTCAGTTCTTTTAGAATTGATGAATCGTTGGGTCCAAACAACTCGACCCTACAGGGAACATCAAGATATGGCATATAGTCAAAGGGACAGCGACAAACTCTTCGAGGGGCATAGGGCTACAATAACATGTTACCATGTATGTTAAGCATGCGTGAGAACATCGGACTGCGTACCAGAGGAAGGTGAGACAAGATTGAACTCGAACAACAATGGTGTCGCTCTGTTGGAGTAGATTGGCAACAGGTAATGAGAAAGAGCTTTTGGTGACAGCGTCGTGGTAGGAGTACGAAGGGAATGAGCTGCCTCGCGCACGACTACGTACGATCGCTTTCTGATCAGCTTGGATCTATCGTAGGAATATCTTGAGTTACGGCATGTTCATCTAGTACTCTCTCATCCTCTGCCAATCCCCGCCGCTATTCTGCTTTCTTTCCAGCAAAGACACTCTGCCCAAATGCCTCGAATTATCTGCACAGGTTACGAGATCACAGATGCGCTACGAAGGTACCTCGAGGTTGGTCACGGCGTAGACTTCGACAAGGATCTAGCAATCGCCATGGAGGAGGACGGTGAACTAGGCGAAATCGACCGGAATGTTGACCCACAGGAGCTAGCCATGGATCGAGAAGCGGCAATCATTATGTCTTACCAAGACTACTTCAGATCCGTTCGTGACAGCGCTCCGCCAGAGATTAGGAAAGCACTTGAAATACCATACGGTGAGTACATGGAAATGGCTTCATTAAGCCTGCGTTGACATCGTCTCTTCCATTGCACAGATTATAGCAAATGGGCCGGGCACGGTCTTCGAGTCTATATGTTTATGCCAACTGGAGCGTACACTCTCGAACACTACACGTCCGGTGCTCTTAAATCTCCACCTGAGGAAGACCGGAAAGTTATCCAGTCATTTATCGACTCCATGAACAGCCTATTACCGGACGACGTTGTGCGCGAGAAGGCAGAGTTTAAAATTGAGGATATGCGGTTTGAGGTTCACTCTCCACGAGCTATACATGCGCCTCCGTATTACCGGCGCGAGCGTGAGGTTCGTCGATATTCAATGTCCCTTGACTGCATTCCACTGATACGTATTTGCTTTTTTTCAGGATCTTTTGCCTCCCCGTCATTTGCGGGCTTTCATAGGCAATGGCAATAGCAAGAGATGCCAGAATGTTCCGCCAGCAGATGATTTCCCATGAGCGAGCCAACATAGGTGGCGGCCCATGCGGCTAGGCGCTGGACGTTCGAGTTCCAAAGCTCGATGGCTCAACCGTCGGGTACGGTTGCTTAAGCCAGGGATTTTCTTTCACTCCTTCCTGAATCGCTGGCAGGCCATGTATCATATTTGCCAGACCACCATTCACGGCTATCGACAATTATCTTGTTGCGCAGTCTTTGAAATTGGCACTGAGGCCCGTTCTCATTGGCTCGGATGAGCCTGTCTGACGCCGGGGATGGGTATGTTGGATGTGAAGCATTATGCGTCAGACAAAATGCGTATCGAGGATCCTGATGTAACGTACAGCATTCTGAACGAATAGATTTCTGACAACATGACCACGCGAGCGACGCTATGCGCCGTACTCAAATCGATCACGGCCACCATTAGTACGCAATTGGCGCTTGCAGCGACTCATGATGCATGAACGTTGGAACACTGATCGTTGTCAAAGACCATGACAGTATATTGTCGCAACTAACAACTGTACATTCACGACATGCGCCTGTTCCACGCCCAAAGCGTACAGCATCGTAAACTCACTTTCAGCATATGGATCTAGCAACTGGGGCAAGATACGCAGAATCGTGTTGTGTCATGAAATAGGCATGTGCGAGCGGACTTGCGCGATCAAAATAAGGTACATGGCTTGCGGCGATACGGAGGGCCATACGGGCGGATGTATGCGCATGTGTACGATGGATTGCTGTACATGCAACCGACGGTTCTCCAAATGCATGCGGAAGTTGGGATACGGGAATGGAGCCACGTTGACGAGGCGCAGTGGTGCTGATGATAGAGAAGAATGCGATCTGGAGTGGAACCCAGCAGGGACGGCAAGCGGGGTGTCTGCCTCAGCTTTATTCGTACGATGTCAATAACATTGTACGAATGAGCCTTCCGCAGCCATCGGCAGGTCTCAATCTGCCACATGAAGCACTCCTGTGGAGTGGCCTCAGGTTCTCGTGGTTGAGGAAGTTTGGGTCCTTAGAATCGAGTGCCCGGGTCACCCACGCCTTGAGCGTATATCAGAAGCAGAGTGGACGCGAGGCCGTTCCGTTTGCCAGATCCTGGTGAACCTTCAACGCAGCTCGAATAGCCAAGCGCATGGATGTGCGAGTAGGATTCGCACCAAACGGTGTCGGGATGACAGTGTTCCCTCCAATGTAGAAGTTGTCGAAGTTCCGAACTCCCGAGTCGGAGCTGACGACCGTCTGTTCATATTCGGGCCTTTGAGCGAAGGACGTCAATCATAGGTGAAAGATGAGGCGGTGGTCGGGATTACCCTTGGCCAGCCCGAAGAGTGCCTCCCAGATGGAGCGCGAGACCTGGACTAGGTGTGCGGATATGAGCGTTCTTGTGACTCTGCTCGTTCCTCAATGCTTACGACATGAGCTAGGGATAATCGCCTATGCAGGCCAAGAAAAACATTAGAAGGACTTGGGTGACAGCTTGGAATGTACATACCAGGTAGATAACCGCCAAGTTTATTGGCGACGTCAGTGATACTAACCCAAGTCAGAAACGGCATCATGGGATTCAGAAATGGGTGCTGCTTACTCGTTCATCATACTGGTTTCTTAGAAGGCACATTTTCGGTAGGGAGATATTGGAAACTTCAAAGACATGCCGAATACATCGGTGATGTTCTTCTCGAAGTACATGCTGTTCTCGCTTTCCCGCGTTCTGAAGAACCTGTGAGCACTTATCAGATGGCAAAGGTTAGAGAGAGAGTCTGCGAAAGACCTCAAGTCGACACAAGACGAGGATGGTGATGTGAGTGTATTGAGTGTACCGATCAACCACCACGTGAATACGGATTAACCTACATTGGAAGTCTTCTGGATGACGCTTCCGGTGATGTTTCTACAACCACAGGTTCTTTCCAGCTTCTCTGTTTTCTCATTTACAAAGACGCTCTGCCGAAATGCCTCCTCGTTATGTCTGCACAGGTTATGAGATTACAGATGCGTTACGGAAATACCTCGAGGTCGGTCACGGCGTAGACATCGCCATGGAACTAGCAAGTGCCATCGAGGACGACTAGACGAGATCGACCGCAATGTTGACCAACAGGAGCTAGCCATGGAGCGAGACGCGGCATCAATCATGTCTTAACAGAATCACTTCAGACGCATTCGTAACAGAGCGACTACGACTTCACCCGGAAATCCGGCTAAGCGTCAGTGCCGTATTTGGCAGGCGATCGGACGGAGTATCTCAGTTGTATCATTCCCAGGCACAGAAGCATGATGTGACCGTTACATGCGGGCGCTTCAAAGCGCTAATTGAGATGGGGGTGCAGATACGAGGGGATGGGTACGAGACCAGAGGCTCGCGAATCCGGAATGCCCACGTCTCCGTCAACGAGCCGCTCACCACACCATCCGCCCGCGCGTCGCCGACGCGGGCGGAACGCACGCCAGCCTGTGAGCCGATGTTCCATATGCCATTTTTGTGCGCGATACTGATGACGCACACGCTCCGAATAGGAGGGGTCCAGGCGTTCAGGAGGCTTCGCTGTGCCCCCCAGGTTCTAGTTCCCGGTGGCGGGTAGACTGTCTCTGCAAATCGCAATTGCCCCACACCTATCTCCGACTCAGCAGCCATGGATGATTTCGTCCCGTCCTCTACCCCGCGATCTCCCGCCGCGCACAGTTGAAGCTGGGCGGCACTGGACCGTCCGCTACGTTTCCGAGATACCAGGTATGCTGGGTTAGTGGATACTCCTGTCGAGCGTCGCGAGACACCCGGCAGCATAATCACATATTATGGTTATAGATCCATGCTCCGAATATCTCGATTGGATATCTGGAGCTGGCGCAGGTTGAAGTCCACTTTGTTGTCTATCAACACCTCTGAACAGCATGGGTTTACACTTTCTGAACTATTACTGTCTTGCATTGATGGCAGCCAAGGATAGTAGAGCGGGAGGTAGAGGATGAAGGTTATTTACATCAGTTACAATGTACAAGCTGTACCAGGCTCCTAAAACCAGCCCCACAATCGCTGTCACGAGTTGGTACGGCGCCTAGCCGTTTTTTGATTTTTTCCTTTTTGCGGGCTCGAACCCGCGACCTCTGTACTATATACCGGATATGGACGCGTCACTATCTACTGTACGATTAGATTAGATGGGACGGCAGTGCACGGCACAGCTCGGGCTCCGCTGACACAGCCGCTCTGACTCACCGGCCCCCGGGGCCGCGTCAGCATGCTGCGCACGGACCAGCTGTGCACGGACCAACGCGCACAGCCTGCCCTAATCCCCCCATGTATATAAACCGGCCTCTGCTGCCCTAGGGACCTCAGTTTCGACCTCTTGTCCCTAGGTCAGTAAGCTCCCATTGTATCCTTTACTTACTTCTTGTCCCTAGCCTTAGGTTTGAGCCTCGCTCACCATCGCTTCGGTGAGAATCAGTCGGACGCCCCCAGCCTTCCAGTTTTCTCTAGTCGCTTGACCTCAAGTCGCGACATTAGGTCGAAACTCTACAAAGCTGCCGGCGTCCCCTCGGGACCCCTTATATTCACTTTCCTTTCCCACAGGTCGGGTGGTGCGCACCCCTACGGTACATTACGATACGTAGATAGCGTACATTACATCGCCAACACTTAGGGAACGAACCTTTCAGCACCTGCACTTCAGTGGGCGGTGCTTGTCCTTAACCGGACGCGTGGACTAGGTTCCTGCTGCATACTAGCCAAAAGCAGTACTGGGCCCCACGTGAATCGCGAACCCTAGTGTCATCTCGGGCGCCGTAGGTGTAAGCTAGTCTTCCACGGCCTTTTGTAGTACGCGCACCTCCCCGTCCTCCCCCCATCCATCGTGGCTGCCTGCCAAGGCCAGATCCACGCATTCGACTCCCAGGACCTCATCGACGTCTACATCCCAGACGGCCCTGAGACTGTCCTCTACCGTTGCGAGCAGCAGCCGTGCCCAAATCGGACACCCCGATCGATCGAGGAAGATTACCCTCGTTACAAGGCGATCTGACGAGCACAACACCCACTCGGACCCCGAAGCACCCTCGCATCTCGATCTGCCTCGCGGCACTCTCGCCCTGTCTCCCCTACCTCCCGCCTTCCCCAAACTGTCGCCGAGTCCAGTCAAGCTCGAGGAGATCTCCCTCCAGACCCTGCGCCAGAGCTTGAGCTTGAGGAGGGTAACAGTGAAGAAGGAGTCTCGGAGTCCGAGTCCGCGGATCCTGCTCGGCCCGCCTCGCCGACAGCGCTCGCCCCCGCGTCAGCAGTCCCTGACGTACGTAACCCCCCCGCCGAACTTCCTCCGGCGCCTTCACCGCCGACTCCGCCGAAAGGCCGCTCGAGCACTCGCTCCTCCCGAAGTTCGGCCAGCGGAAGGCCACCACAGCCGCCTCCGCCCCCGCAGCGTCCTCCATCCCCCCCGACGCCGATAATGTCGTCCCCCGCAGCCGCCCTCGACAAGGAGACGTTAAAACTCCTACTCCCACTCCGATACGATGGCAAAACCGTCATCGATTGCGACAGGTTCTTGTCGCAGCTGCGCATCTACTGGATGGTCAACACGTCATTGACCACCATCGAGCTCAAAGTCCAGGTTGCGCTAAGCCTGCTCGACGGTGACGCCCGCGCCTGGGCCACCCCCTACTTCGCCCAGCTTGTATCAGTGCAGATAGGGGTGCAAGGGGCTACGACCCCGTTCGCAAACGAAGCGGCCTTTGCCGCCACCTTCAAGGCCCGCTTCGGAAATCTCGACGACGAAGCGGCAGCACAAGTAGAGCTGGCGAAGCTCTGCGCGGACAAATCGGTCCGTGAAAAACGCACCGCCGTGGAATTCTCCGCGCTGTTCAAGGGTCTGGCGGACCGCTCTGGGTATGGGGACCTGGAGCTACACGACAAGTACCTGAGCGGCATCCCCTCCCGCGTATACCGAAAGATCGAGCTCGAGACTTTCACCACGTGGCAAGACGCTGACAAGCGCGCCACTGAGGTTGAGCAGATCCTCGACATTAGCCGGGCTCGTCGGCCCGAGCTAAATAACTTCTTCTCGGCCCGAGGTCGAGGACGCGGTGGGGCACGTGGTGGTGCACCCTCGACGCACGCAGCTTCGGCCAGCATCAATGCGGCCGTCGGAAAAGGAAACTTCCCCGGCACATGCTTCGGCTGTGGGAAGCAAGGATACCGACGTTTTGAGTGCCCCAGCTGTAAGGACAAGCCTTACACAAAACGCGCCGACGCGCGGGCTACGGTTGCCTCGGGCTCCACCCAGGCTGCGACAAGCGCCCCCGTCGCTTCACCCTCGGCAAGTATAAGTGCCGCTTCAGCGAAATCCGAGCAATCGGAGCTGGCGGACTTAATGGCATAGGTGAAGTCGATGCGCGAGGAACTCGAGCATTATCGGGCAATGAAGGAGGAGGGTTTTTGATCCGGTCCGCGCTTTGTGCCGCACGCGTCGGGCCGCGAGTATCATCTTGTAACAAGTATAATGTATTGTCTACTGCGATGGTGTACAAATTGGACCAGGGGTCCCAACATTTTCACATCCCAGTACGACTTCAAGGGAAAAGACGGCACAAGGATATAATCGCTATGGTGGACAGCGGAGCCACCACGAAGTTCATCAACAAGCGATTCATCGAGGAGAATAAGGTGCAGACGCGGAAGCTAAAAGAGCCGATTCCGCTCTACAATATCGACGGCACCCTGAATAAAGACGGAAGCATCTCGGAGGTAGCCGTGCTACAGATGCAAATAGGAGAGCACGTTGAGAAGACGGTGTTCACGGTCACGGACATAGGTCCAGAAGATGTGATCGTTGGGTTGGATTGGCTGCGAGAACACAACCCCGAAATCGATTGGGAGAAAGGCTCCCTCAAATTGTCACGATGCCCTGAAACGTGCAGTGCCAGGAAGGCTGGCCGGATGGAGCAAGCAGCGACTGCGCGTGATACGGGGGTCAGGCCCACGGCGCGCAGACGCTCGCAGAAGTCCAGACGGTCGGTCATAGGTGCTTGCCGGAGTAAGGTACTCCCGGACTTCGAACCCGAAGATGATCCAGTGGAGGTAGAGTGGGACGAAGCTGACTTGATCGAGGCCTGGGAGCAGGGCATCACGCTTCCTGGCGCTCCTCAGCTGTTCGTTGCAGCAGGGCACACGTATTCCCAACTGTTCGCTGAAGAGGAGATCAGAAAGAAGGTTGTTAAGACCGCTGAGGAGTCGGTACCTAAACAGTACCACGAGTTCCTGAATGTCTTCTCCAAAGAAGCGTCAGAACTGTCACGACTTGGTACGGCGCCTAGCCGTTTTTTAATTTTTTCCTTTTCGCGGGCTCGAACCCACGACCTCTGTACTACCTGCCTGATACGGACGCATCATATCTACTGTACGATTAGATTAGATGGGGCGGCAGCGCACGGCACAGCTCGGGCTCCGCTGACACAGCCTCTCTGACTCACCGGCCCCCGGGGCCGCGTCGGCATGCTGCGCACAAACCAGCTGCGCACGGACCAACGCGCACAGCCTGCCCTAATCTCCCCATGTATATAAGCTGGCCTCTGCTGCCCTAGGGACCTCAGTTTCGACCTCTTGTCCCTAGGTCAGTAAGCTCTCTTGTACTTACTTATCTTTCCTTACTAACTAATATATTCTTGTCCCTAGCCTTAGGTTCGAGCCTCGCTCACCATCGCTTCGGTGAGAACCAGTCGGACGCCCCTCGCTTCTAGGTATTCCCCTGTCGCTTGACCTCAAGTCGCGACATTAGGTCGAAACTCTCCCAAGCGACCGGCGTTCCTTCGTCACTCCCGCTACTCATATTCACTTCCTATAGGTTGGGTGGTGCGCACCCTTACTGTACCCTACGATACCTAGATAGCGTACTATACATCGCCACCACTTAGGGAACGAACTCTTCAGTACCTGCACTTCAGTGGGCGGTACTTGTCCTCACGGACGCGTGGCTTAGGTTCCTGCTGCATACTAGCCAAAAGCAGTACTGGGCCCCACGTGAACTGCGAACCCTAGTGTTACCTCGGGCGCCGTAGGTGTAAGCTAGCTAGCACGGCCTTTTGTAGCACGCGCACCTCCCCTTCCTCCCCCCATCAACGTGGCTGACGAATTCTTCGACTGCTCTCGACTTGAGCACGCCTTCGACACCCAGGAGCAGGTCGACGTCTCTCGTGACGACCCGAAAAGCGACGGAGACAGAGCTCCTTTCTTCATCTGTGATCGGCAACCGTGCCCTAATCGCACCCCACGGTCCATCACTGTTGACGAAGGACACTTCGTACCAATCCGACGGGTCCAACACCCCCGCGGCCCTGCACTCCGGTACGCTGGCACCTCGAGATCTACATCTCGCCACGTCACTCCCGTCCCATCCCGACCTGCCTCGCCAGGCACCCGCATCCCCCAACCTGTCGCCAGTACAGGTCAAACGCGAGGAGATCCCTATCTCCCTCGAGGAACTGAGGCAGTCGCACAGCCTTCAGCGACCCCTCAAGCGATCCCTCAGCCCTCCTTGGGGCCGCGGCTGGAAAGGCCTCCCAAGACCGAGCCCCGCGACACTCCGCCGCATTCTTGGGCCAGCTCGTCGTCAGCGGTCACCGCCTCGACTTCAGTCCCTGTCCTACGTCACCCCGCCTCCGGGCTTCCTCAACCGGCTTCACTGCCGTCGCCGCCGCGAGGCCGCTCAAGCACTCGTTCCTCGAGAAGTCCGCCCGGCGGACAGTCACAACAGTCGCCTCCGTCCGCGGGCAGTCCTTCGTCCCCCTCGTCGCCGATAATGTCGTCCCCCGCAGCCACCCTCGACAAGGAGACGTTGAAACTCCTCCT